GGAACAATGGACCAAAATGGAGATACCTGCTTGAGTTAGGGCGGGAGAAGGAACAATGGACCAAAATGGAGATACCTGCTTGAGTTAGGGCGGGAGAAGGAACAATGGACCAAAATGGAGATACCTGCTTGAGTTAGGGCGGGAAAAGGAACAATGGACCAAAAGGGAGATACCTACTTGATTTAGGGTGCGAGAAGAAACAATTAATCAAGAGAGACATACCTACTTGAGTTGAGGTAGGAGAAGAAACAACAGATCAAAAGAGACATACCTGCTTGAGATAAGGTAAGAGAAGAAACAAGGGATCAAAAGGGGTCATCATGAACAAGATTCCATCTGAAACAGCAAATATTTCAACATTTAAAAACTCTTGGTGAACTTGTATCTTTATATCAACAAAACATTACACAACAATAATTAATAATTTTTAAATCAAAAATAAAAGAATTTACTCATTTGAATCTTTTTATTCTTTTTACCCTAAATTAATTATGTAATTTTTGTCAAGTAATAAAGCCTTGAAAAATTCATATTACCAACATAGCTATCTCTACTTATTAATGAGGATAACTACACACCTTGTTCTACAGACTCTCCTATGAACCAAGATCTGTATTCTTCAGAAAACTGTGTCACTTCATATACTGAAGTATCAGAGGGACCAAATCCAAACAAGGCTCCTGACCCTAGAAAGTAGAAAAACATTTTAGTGAAAATAATGTACACAAAAAGAAACAATCTTACAATGACTTATTTCAAAAACAATAAGTTATTAGTGTTATATTTCCTAAATTATGAGAACAGCTCTTTGTTGTAAGATGCTAAAATTGGAATTGAATTTTTTAGTATCACACACACACACTTAGCATATTTTATTCTGTTCAGTTTTATCCCTGGGTTCAGTGAGGTTTTATTTAATTGTCTGAGATCAAATTATTATCTAAAAGTCACATAAAATGCTCTCTTATAATGATATAAGACATACAGAATGATGCTTTGCAAATTAAACTTTCAATACTAAACATTCAACATAATATTAAAAAAACTTTTATCTTGAAAAAAAAATTCTAAAAACTTATGTTGACCTTTTCAAATGTTAAAACTACTTTCTTCAGCATGCCTTACAACTTTTTTGATCTACAGTGCTTCCATACAAATCCTTTTTATCCAATCAATAAGGAAACATTAAATATAATGTACAGTGTGAGTAATTACAAGCAACTGAAGCTAAGGGTAAGAAACATATAACACTGAATATTACAGTACATAATGAAATGCACCTGTCTAAGGAATTAACACAATAAAAATACACCTTTGTGATATGATAAGAAACATATAACACTGAATATTACAGTACATAAAGAAACACCTGTCTGAGGATGTCTGAGTGTCACAAATGAGATGTCCTTCTCTCTCTCTATACTTCCATTCAGCAAGCTTTCTGTTAATACAAAATGGACCACATTATGCACATTTTTCTTGTACAGAATTCACATCTAACATAACTTAAAAATGTTTCCAAAAGAAAAATATTTCAATATCTAGAAAGTATCTGAGAAAAATACTTATTTGCTCAAAGGGGTATGTTTTCATTCTTATAGGTCCTATTTCTTTACTATACACTGATTTTACCAAATAATTTATTCTAAATCCTGATAAACAAAGAATCTAACAAGTTTGGTTCTGAATGTTTCAAACATCCTTCAGCTGTTTAAGTACTAATTGTCTTACAACGAAAATATGTATATTAATTTATTTTAATAACTCCAATATTACAAGACACAGCACAAGTTTCAAGATGATGGATTCTCTACCAGAATAAAGCTAAGAGAAAATTAGTATTTATCAAGGTGATAAAACTTATTTAACAATAGATAATTCAATCCAAATTTATTCTACCTGGAAGAAATACTATTTTGTGCTGACTTGAGGAATTATTATTCTTCATTTCTTCTTTTTGTTTCATTTGTGCAGTCATCACAGTCGTATATCCTAATAAACGTTATACTTAGTCAATATCTTATTTTCTCAAAACAAATACAAAATCAGTTGTTACAAATCAATATACTATGATAAAATATGATCATTACTATGACAGTAGTCCAAGCCAACAGATAGTGTTTCTGTGTTTACTAAGTTTACAATAATAATTCATTCATTGTTACTTTGACTTAGCAGTGTTTATATACCACTTAATATAATGAATGTTGTTATTTCTTATTTTGATTTTTATTATTATTCTTTTATTATTAAATTTTTTGTATTTTCAGATTAATATATATTTTTAGGAATAACCTAAATCTCTTAAGCTGGTCAGACATCATAAGATATTATTGGAATTACTGTCAGAAATTACCATGACACAACCATTACAACACAGCCAACATAAGATAAAACTAAATATCTAGAAAACCTAAACATAAATTTAACAAAAAAACACTAAACTACAGTAATGATTATTCCATTGCACAAAATCACGCTACATCAAAATGTTTACAAAGACAAAAATAACTTTCTAAAGTTTAGAATTCCTACAACCAAAACCAAGAATACCATTTATTTCTGTTTGTATTAAGTAAGTTACTTGGACTATCACCACCTTTTTTCAATGCACAAGCTTTTGGCTCATTTACCTAAACCTACACGTCTCGCACCTGTAGAAGGCTTGGGTAATTGAGCCAAAAGCTTGTGCATTAAAAAACTACAAAAAAATGGTGATAGTTCAAATAAATTATTTAATACAAATATGAGTACTCACATTAAAAACCTGAAGAGTTACTTACCATTTATTTCTGTTTAACAAAGCTTAACATATGACAGAGATCACTAGGGTGAACATTTTCTCCAAACTTTCACACCAACTTTAATCTTCACAAAATTAACTATCACCTTCCACATTTAGACCCAATTTTCAAAAATCATTCCTCCTCGATAACAAAACCATTTCCAACAGAATCAACTTCTCTCAACATTGTAGTAGTATAAAATTATAATTTTTCTGTCCAATAAGCTATCCAAGTTTCAAAAAATAACAGAAAACAGAGATCACTGAAAAACCACAACAAGTACAATCCCCTAATCAGAAAAACACACATTCATCATCACTCCACTTTATATCCCTAAGCCAATTTTCTAACTACTTTTTAACTTTTCATGTAATCCCATAATTGTCCAACTTACTAACCAATTGCTTCTGGCACTTCATTAATGGCTTTCTGAAAGTCAAGATAAACAATATCACCCAGTGTCCTGGTTCAGCAAAGTGACCATATTGAGAAACTCTTTGAAGTTATTACATAAATTGCAACCATTTTTGTACTAATGAAGTTGATATATACATGGGTGTCTGCAGAATATATCACAGAGTGCGGCCAAAATGATATCAAAGCTATAACTAGGGAAATGCATTCCCCCCTTCTCCCCATTTACATTGTCCTTTAAATGTTGGCTCGATAATCTAGGGGAGTCAAGTGCCTCCTTTGTAGACACCCATGGATATATGCCTTTATATGACTACTTAGAAATCTAATTTTTAATAATACAGAACCAACTAGTTTTGGGACCTTTAATACTGTTCATACCATCATTCTTCAATTTCAAAGTATTGTTACTATTATTAGGAAGCAAAAGCAGGTTATATTGAGATTCCTAGGTACAAAACATAATAAACCATCCATAAATTTATCCATAAATTATTTTGTTGAAAAACAACGTTATTTCAACCTCTCACATTATATGATTATTGTGAATTTGGTTGTAATACTATTAATAGTATCCAAGATTTTACTTCATATTATATTTGGTCATGTTCCATAAGTAAATTTCTAAATGGTTTATAACTAAATACATGTTACAATTATAAATAGTAAGTATTATAACTTTAGTAAGTGTGGTAGCTCAGTTACTATTAGTATTATTGAAGTATTCTTTTAAAAATGTTTTAACATTATCGTATAATGCAATACATTGAAAATGGAACTTGGAAGTGTAAAAGAATGACACCAAAGTTGTCAAAAAATTGCAACAACAAATAATAAACTGCATAGTATTAGCAACACGTTATTTTAATTTTATATAAAGATGAGACTTTAACTTTACTAACTATAGAAGTAGGCCTACTTACCGGTTGTTCAACACGGAAGGTAACGTCAGATGCGTTAATAATTATAAAAGTAATATTCAAACTTTTAAAAAATAGCAATGTAAGAAATTTATGCGCTGCATTAACTAAATGCACCTGATGCCGTCTGAAGTATATTTGTCTTACAAAGCTATATGCAAATTTAATCTAACAATACAGCTATTGTTACGTCAAATTGGTAATATGTTGATATAGTGATATTTTTGTCACATATCAGAGCCGTTTAGCTCCCGCCAAATCTACTTTTTTGATACACAAATAAACGAACGATTTTAATAATTTATTTCTAAGACAAATATTGATATAGTAACATGAGCACAATAAACGGAAAGATTAACAGTAACGAATAGACTGATAAGATAAAAAACAAATCCGAAACCTCCTGTGTAGACTAATTAACATAATTAAGAAATAATTATTTTATTGTTAGGGCAAATAAAATATAGATAATGAACTTCAAAAGGAGATTATCTATAGTAATTGATTTTAAGTCTTTTTTTTTATGTCTGTTTCTTAGAACTAAGACTGTGGCGAATCAATAAATAAATAAAGTAGATACATTTCATTTGTTACTCACAATCACCATTTTTGATGACCAGGAACCCACTTTTCATGGCCAGGTGGTTATGGCGCTCGTACTCGCAATCTGAGGGTCGCGGTTTCGAATCCCCGTCACACCAAACATGCTGGCCCTTTCAGCCGTGGGGGCGTTATAATGTGATGGCCAATCCCACTATTCGTTGGTAAAAAGAGTAGCCCAAGAGTTGGCGGTGGGTGGTAATGACTAGTTGCCTTCACTCTAGTCTTACACTAGGGACGGCTAGCGCAGATAGCCCTCGTGTAGCTTTGCGCGAAGTTCAAAAAACAAACAAATAAAGTTTGAAGACGGTTTTAATGAGTAGAGAAAGAAACTTTATCACAAACTAGCTAGAATACCCGTAAATTCATGACTAACGAAAGATTATCTTAGGACATGAAAAGTTGCTTCCCTTATATGTAACTTTAAAAAACGCCCATAAAAACTGCAAAATGTGAAACCGTAAACTTGCATGCATCTCCGCATGGACCCAAAAAACCTTCATGCTAAATTTGGTGAAGATCCATCAACAGGGGGCAAAGTAATAGTAAAAACCGTAAAACTGAAAATTTGTACGTATCTCCCCATACCACAGTTGATGAAGATTCATCCACAGGTGAGGTAGTGGTAAAAAATGCCCATATAAAACGCGAAACTGAAAATTTGTATGAAAAGTAATATTGGAGCTCATTCAAACGATATTAATTATTAAAAATTCACAAATTATTTCTTCATGTTGGCAGGAGCAAAGAACCAGGTCACATCCATTTCGCCGCCCTACGACATAAACGAAAGTTATTGAATCTACCCAAGATACCCTCTTTTGGGTTATTACGATGCTAACTTGTGTGCTGTCAAATTCTATCGGTAACAGTGGCGCACCCGTGATGTCAGATCCGGGTTCAGAGACCCTAATACCCTACTCCTAGATCAGTATGACTTTCCAGATACGTTTTAACCACCTTGGTAGGAGTGTTATATCATATATATCGTGCCATTCCCTGGCCACCCTGAGTCCACCTGCTAAGTTTGGTCGTGCTAGCTCCAAAACTATGGAAGAAGTGTATATACAAACAAACAAATTCCTAAATACAAAGCAGGAATGAATATAAGATATAAAGGGTTAATCCTGAATGCTGGATTGACCTTATGGGAGGTGTTTTATTAAAAGTGCTGCTCTGGTTTTTTGCAGAACATTATCATTTTTCACGTTCAGAATACTGAAATTATAGGTTATTGGAATCATATTGCATCAATGCTAGAATAAGGAAAATTATCAACCGCGTTATGCTCTTCTCTGTTCTGGCTTTGCTACTTTGTGACATGGACATTATTTTCATACATCGGTATTTGTATAGTCATTTGCCTTCTTCAAAGACCAAAAATTCAATGTTGTCAAACTCATTTATCAAACTATAAGTTCCCGCAAACAGAATGCTAAAATTGGAAAAACTATATTTATTTCAGATTTTTGCCACAAAAACAATCATCTTTTTGGATTGTTTCTCATATTTTGAATGATTCGTCCATCTATAAAATAACAGAAATTGATTTTGAAAACAAATTTTTTTATTTTCTGCCTTTTTTTTTTTGGAAGTTTTTCGATTTGTTAAAAAAGGCTGTGCAACATGCAAGTAAACTGGGTATTTTCTACTTCTTTTATCTAGTAAGTTCAAATAAACTTTTCAAAATTGTCGAGTATGGAGTTTTAACCATACAAGATAATATTATATGTTGCCTTTTCGAGTATAAATTTTCTGTAAAGTAATTCATATTGTGTGAAAGTAGACAATGATCTTTCCTCTGGTGGGTCAGGTGCTACCTCGAAATATAACCTTCCTTATTTTTTAATGGGATTTCCCACCCCCCAACCTAGGAAAGAACATAATTGTTGTTTGGTGTATATAATGCTGTGATTCCTCAGTATAAAGCCAATTAAAGAACAAATGAAAATATACACTTTATCGGTGACTAATAATTAACACAGAACATAACCCTATAATCCAGTAATTAATTTCAAGGCTACATAACAAATACAATCAAAAGAGACAGCCTTTTAATACCACATTATATATGTATATACATTTTACTTGTTATTTAGTAATGTTACGTCTCTGGTCGTTAGTTAATTTTCCGTAAAAATTCTTTCCGAAAAAACTTTAGCGACACAAGTCCTTTCTTAAATAAAACTGGTTTATTCTTTCTGAATACAACTTTGAAATTCACTTAATTTCCACGGTCACGCTATAGCTTAAACAAACGCTATAATTCACTACGAACGACTCACGTGCTCGACTCAATTGTCAGTCTCTCTCTGTCTACAGTTCAATTACATTGTTGCCGTCACTTCTTGGCTGTCTTATATACAAGAATACCGTCCATCTAGTATACACTCGAGGCTTCAGGAACCTTCGAGAATAAGACGTGTTACTAGCGTCACGTGACCCCCGCTGTCATAACAGTAACAACAACAAAAATAATATACAAATAAACGAAAACAGTACTCAACGTGCAGCCTGTAGGCGAGTTTTACTTATGACACTGAAGATCCTGCTTGCATACGTGGCCATCTTACTGTTTTAGTTCTTGGACACTGAAAAAGTTCACAAAGTAGAGGTCTCCACCAGAATGAAACTCCTATCCAGCCATAGTTGAGACTGGCTTTACCTTATAGTTGTTATAACCTAGAATCACTTCTCGGGTATTATATAACGTCGTTAAGGGGAGTTGGGGAAATTAAGCAATTATACTGATGCTACGACAATAGTTGAAGTCAACAGCTTGAATATTCTAATCCCAAATTAAAGAATACCATGTTATTTATGTATCGTTACTTTCATTAAAACATGGGTTAGACTATTTAATATTTACGTATCTGTTACGACAGCGGAAGTCACGTGACTCTAGTAACACGTC